GACTGAAAATAAAAGATCCTGGCATAATCACACGCAGTTTGCAGCGTGAAAATGCATTTATTAACAGCAGAGCTCAGAACGAATATTTCATCTGCTGCTGTAGCTTCCAGTAGAAGTATTTTAGAGCAAAGAAATTTTACAAATTTCTTAATTCTTTGTCTAGTAAGAAAAAATGTACATTCTAAGAGAGCGATGAAGCAAACGATGCTTGGCTTGATCATTTTAAACTTCCGACAAATGACCTACATGCAAAATATCACTGCGATCATATAATAAAATAAAATCTGATGGACTGGGCATGCTGCTTGCGTTGTCGCCAGTCAGTGGATGTCGCGCATTGGTGACCGTAGCCTATGAGGAGAAAAATGACCACTCAAGTGGTCTTTGAACAGCGGGCTTATAATCACTGAACAGGGGGTGGCCATTAACTGCAGATAGTGGTCCAGGATCCAAAGGCCTGATATAGTTGCATCTGGCATGTGAAAGCGTCCCAGCAATATTATCAGCAAGGAATAGCCAAACTGATAACTCGGCCAGCCTTGATATTCTTAGTAGACACGTTAAAAGAAGAGTTTGCAGGTTCGGCAGCGTATAACTTATTTTGCATTACGGCTGTGTGTATTATGGTTGTACCATCGCCGCGTGTTAAACGAATCCGCGAAATATCCGTTTTTGCTGTCACTTCGCTATTCAGTTGCTTGGCATACATATGGCTTCTAATTGTAAAATTTAAATTTTGCTCGCTTTCTTAAAATAGTTATTTGGATAAATTTTAGGTTTGAGATAAGACTGCACAGTGTTTCTGTGGGAAAGAATAGTCGAAAAGTACGTCAGGATTGCCACTAGCTTGACTACCAGGCGATACAGCACCGGTCAAAGCAATTGGAAAATTGAGATCTACGTAGCTGGAGAACCCTACCGCTAATTGCAGTTGATTCATGTGCTCAAAATATTCATTACCTATTTCGAAATGTAATAAACCATTCTCATCGCTAAGTATGGGGAAAAAGGTTAAATCAACATGAATGTGGTATGCTGCCAAAGTCTGTTTCGTTTTTTTTGCGCAACTATCAAGCTTTTGCATCCAATTTGTTCATCAGCAGGAGTATGATAACAGAACACTGGCAAGAATATGAATTGTTTTTTTTTTTTTGTGGGAGCAATGCTGGCAGAAAAACCTGACTCAAAATACCAAGCTTGCTCCAAGACTGCTCGTAATTCCTGAAGAACAACTATTTTTTTCATCCCACTGTCGCAGCATTTGAATAGCACCACGGATAGCTCAAGAAAGTAAATTAAGAAAATTCGACAAAAGATTTTTTTCCAGTTCTAATTCTTATTTCAGATTCTGTTAGTAATTTCACCAAATGTCGTGGAATTGTGGGAAGCACTAATAACATTTTGTTTCTTTGTTATCTTCGTAGTGGTCGCATATCTCGTGGACATCAAAATTTGGAGACGAAAAAAGGAGCGTCTGGAAGACGAATTGCAAATTGACGGCTATGGCGACGCTACCAGTCGTGCTTTGATCGAAAAGGAAGCTGATATTGATGCATGTCTGAAAAGACTTGCTGACGTAATGGCACCGGAAGCTGATTCGGTAATTCGCCTTTCTAAAATTGGGATATGTCGACTTTTTTCCGAATGAGCTACTGAAGCGCACTTTATCCGGACTCTCTAATTCCGAAGTTCTCCTTGCTACAGTACAAGCATTCTTTGATTATCATTTGCTGTTCAATTTATAGATAACTTAAAGCACCCATGGATAATTCAAACTAACGAGCTATAAAATAGAAAAACACACAGAATATCAAGACCGCTAGGGAATACCAAACTGACGCCGCAGACGTAGCCCTCCTCGAAGATAGTTATGAACCGGAAGGGAACCGAACCACTCACCTTCACATCCGAATGCAACTTGCTACTCTCTGCATCGTCGACCTTTGCACTCACGCACTTTTCTGTGTACATCGAAATTCTGTACACATGACACTCTCATACCATCTGGTAATTACACTTGTGCAGCTTACCCTTTCAACAGTTGTCGGCTTTTCGTGGCTCCAAGACCCCTGTGTTAGTAATGTTGCTGGGATGCTTCCACACATTTGAATCCCAATTTAAGACAACAGAAAAAGTGGAAGCGGAAAACTAAATGTCAATGATTTA